TCTTTCCCTTTCCTTTGTCCTTCCCGCCATTGTCCTTTAGTTTTGCTGTAGGTTTTTCTGATGTTTTACCAGTTATGCTGATGGTACTGGTACTGGCGGGTGCTGGTGCTGGTGCTAGTGATGCAGGGTGCTGGTGCTGGTGCTGATGCGGATGCGGATGCTAGTGCTAGTGATGCAGGGTGTTGGTGCTGATGCTGATGCTGATGCTGAAGGGTGCTGTTGCTGGGCCTGGTTTCAGTAGCTTGTCATCCTTATCTGGAGGAACCAGTGCTCTCCTTCTGAGCTTCTTGCCTTTGAAGTGTTTTCCTTGAAAACATACATTGATAAAAGCCAAGGATGTGGACATCGGGACCTAAGAAAACAAAAGCGTCCTCATTACATTGGCTTTTCATCCAGAAAGGTGTCTGTTTTCCTCCTGATCTCTCTCTCATCAGAGATACACACAGTGCACTCCCAACCCCTCAAACTTCCAGACCCCAGACTGTGTCTCCTTCTTGGTTTGGCATCCTTCATGCTCATTGCCCCATCATCTTATCTTTCTCTTGACAACTAGTAGCTACACGAAGGAAGTAAGTCACTCAGGCGTCCTCCCTGGATGTCACCTCTATTTAAGTGACTTCTTCACCAGAAATATATTTAGCTACTTTACTTCTGAACTTAAACTGGAGGGCGTGGGCCACTTCTTCTGCAAATTGGCCAAGGAAAAGGGCAAGGACACAAGCACCTGCTCAAGTTGCAGAACCAGCGCCTCAGTCATACGTTCTTCCGAGATGTGCAGAAACCAGCAAAGGATGAGTGGGGTAAAACCCAGGAGACCGTGGAAGCCGCCTTGGCCCTGGAGAAGAGCCTGAAGCCAGGCCCTCTTGGATCTTCATGCCCTGCGTTCTGCCCGCACAGACCGCCATCTCTGTGACTTCCAGGAGAATCTCTTCCTGGATGAGAAGGTGAAGGTGAAGCTCAAGCTCATCAAGAAGATGGGAGACCACGTGACCATCCTCCCCAGGCTGGCTGGGCCCAGCTGGTCACAGGCTGGCTTGCCTCAGCCATCACTGGGCCAGTGTCTGAGTGCCTCACCCTCAAGCAGGACTAGGTCTCCATGCCTTCCAGGGGGCTCCCGCCTCTGCCCTGCATCAGCTGGCCTCCAGACCTCTACCTGAACCTCTCCAGCCAGTAGGCAGCTTTGAAATGCCCCAGAGCCCCTCCTAAGCCTTGGACCACCTGAATACAAAGCTTTTTTGAAAAAAAAAATGAAGAATAGATGTCTTACCTTGAATTGTTTCTGTCCATGCCAGCTATGGTTTTCTTCATTTTGGATGGTTTGGGAAACCAATCAGGAGCTCTTACAGGAGAAAAAACAATACATAAGCCAAACAGCAGTGAAAACCCCAGAAAACGCATGACTAGATGAGTGGCATTTAAATTCTGGTTTTATCCCAAAATGCTTTCTACACTTACATTTTGGAGCGGGGCTGCAGGGTTCATCAACGCTGGTGTGCTGGGAGTGAAGTTGGTGGGTGATGAACTACAGTCCCCTGAGCCCATTGCTGGGCTGAGGATCAACCCAGAAAGTGGGTGGGGCAATGGGGGGAGCACATTGGCGCTTCCCATAGACCAGTTCTCTGCCATTAGGTCTGCCAAGGTCAGCAGGTGACGTCGTACCTGCAAATCCCAGTTGGGTTTTGCTGCCACTAGCAGGTTGGCCTGTTGGTACAGTTAGGCCAGCTGTGGCTGCTGAGGACAATGGATTCCTCAGAATGACACGGCCAGCAGGCTGCTGCTTCCTGTTCAGTAATGCACAGATGGGCTGAGAGGGAGCCCCGGTATGGTTGCAAGCTGTGGTAGACCCCCAAACTGACTATGCCATCAACCTGGTGGAGACAAGGTCAGAGGCAGGTTGAGAGTGCAAGAGGACATCCAGAGAAGGTGGCATGGTGTCCATGGACTCAAAATCTCCTCTAACTCACTATGTAGACCAGGCTGGCCTCAAACTCACAAAATCCTCCTGCCTCTGTGTAATGAATGTAATAGAAACATAACAAATATCATAGAACTTAGAATATAGAAATAGAAATCCAATCTGTAAAAACAAAAGTGATTGAAACCACGAACTATGTGACAGCTGTGGTTGACAAGATAAGCTGAACTAGGAAGCATGAGCCTTAACTGAGTGAAACAGAATGTATGTGTGAGTGTGATAAGTAACCCAAGAGCAGTCACCATATCTAAGACACCAGCTGAACTCATTGATGTCAAGACAATGACAGACTGACCGTAAAAAGCATATAAAAAGCCAGAGACTCAGGCAGTTCACTGATGCTTGGCAACTCCCGAGACCAAGACAGACCATCACTCAGTCAGGCGGCATCCCAACGTTCTTGCCCGAGACATTGAGACACCGAGACTCGAGACTCTGTCCGAGACCCGCCAAGACTGCACGTGATCATCAGGACCTGCATCCCGATGTTCTTGCCCGAGACATCGAGACACCAAGACTCTGCCCGAGACCTGCCATGCCTGCACGTGATCATCAGGACCTGCAGCTCAGCAGCTTCTGCCGGGAGAGAGCAACAATCACGGTGGACACTGAGAGCCTCCACACGGAGCACCTAAGGACTGGGACATTGGGCTCTGGCCCTGAGGTACTCCCTAAGATCTAGGAGCTCTGAACATTGGTTCAGTTCTTCCTGCTTCTCCCCTTGAGTGTTTGTGTTGTTTGTGAATGTATTTTGGGCTTGTTGTGTGAAATATATTGTACTTGCAACCTCAAAAAAAAAAAAATTTCCAGTAACAATAACAAGCCGGGCTTGGCCACTAGTCCTCAATAGACCAACTAAAAAGTCAAGTCTAGTGAAAAGCAAAGAAAGATACATTCAGCGAGGATGAGAAATATCTAGGGATCAACTAAAGTTCATCTTTGTGATACTGACATGAAGTTTAGGTTTGAATGGCAAGCAGTAGGATGTAAACTGTCTAAGCAGTCATGGTCTAGATACCACCCTGCCCATCAAAGTCTTGGTTCTAGTCTCTCTTGCAAGGTGTCCTGACAAGTTTTCAGAACTATATGGAATCTCTTTCTGGGAAACAAGCTCCTCCTCTGGCTGGTACCAGGCTACAGCCTTTTCCTCATCTGAGCATGAGATTCCTCAGGAAATTCTAATTCCTTGGGGACCATTGTTTCAGTAGTTTGATAGCTGAAGGGAGGGGTAAAGTGTTTCTCTTTAGAATAACTTCAGCCCTGACAGACCGGTGATATGCCTAGCTAGATCAAGGCACATGTTGCATGCTGGAAATACAAGTAAGCAAATTACCTTCATTGTGCCCAGATGAAGGTTAGATTCTAGTGGGTCAAAGGGACATCATTGTGAACTTACTTAATCATGATGAAATGTACTCTGAAGGGAAAGCTAGCATGTAACAAAGGTCCCATCCTAATCCTGCGAGTCAGGGAGTTGTCGTTAAAGAAATTCCATTTCAGCCTCTGATTTGAGGGGTTGCTCAAGTCAACAGTTTAGCCTTGAAGAGGGAAAGGGCATTCCTAATAGGCTGCAGTTTGAGCAGTCCAGAAAAAGACAAAGAATGTATTCCTCTAAAAAGGAAGAGGGAGTGAGCAATAGGCAATTTAATTCCTGAGGGGTAGACTGCATCAGAAACACAAATGTAGAATACAGAAGATAATTCTGTTTGGAGCAAGAAACACCTTTATGGGAAAATTATATTAGATTTTTAATCAGTTGGGATTCCATAGACATAAGGAAGTGGGAAAATCAGAAGCTGTAGACACTAAGATTATGAAAATTTTGCTATTAGAAAACCAGTAAAATTTGTTTGTTTTTTTCCTTAGGTCCCATCTCAATCTCCTGAAAGCATACAATGAAACCTGTAGCTAGAATCATTTCCAATGAAGTTTTTGTATTTACAGGTCCTTGGTAAGCTGGCTTTATTCTTTAATAAATGAGAAATGATGCCATTGTCCCCTACAAAATAGCTGAGGTTTTACTTGAACGAAATCTGTTTGGAAATGTTAAGCTGGTTACACAGAACTAATATGCCTCAAGGTGGTCATTCTTTCTGGATTAAAGCTGGGGAACAATTGTGGCTCCTGTTACAAGGAAAATTACAATGGGCTATTATGGAAAGGGACAAAAATCTCTGTTCCCAGAGGAGGACTGACAGCTGAAAGTCCCCCTGTACATGCCTACACAAAAGCCCTATTGCTTCAGATTGTTTGTTTATGTAAATCGAAGGGTGACATTAATTCTGAGAGTGGGACCAGGGAGCTGGGGAAAAGCTGCTGATTGGCTGGATTCTTGCTCCTGGGCTGATGACAAATCTGACAAATCCTATTGCATTCATTCTGAGCCTTGGATACCTTTAGAAAGACTCTTGTTATTACATTCTTGTTATTACATCTCAGAGTGAATAATTTATGTTTTTAGAATAGGTTTGGGGACTGAAGGACTCAGGGTGAGAGATCTTATCAAAGATCTGCTTCCTCAATTTCCCTATTTCTTTCTCTAAACCGGATTTCAGTGCACATCATGACAGATGCTCCAGTGACCTTCAGTGGGACTACGTGCAATGGGGACAGACCACCTGAGAATGACCAACAACACAACAGTCAAACCAAGGAGGACACAGCTGATGTAGATGGGACCCCACCACCCTGCAGCTTTGAACCCAGTCCTAAAGACTTATCCATACAAGATCAGGAAGAAAGTGGAAAATCTAAAAGGAACGTGCTACCAAAATGGCCCATGGATGAGAAAACTCTCAATGGTAAATTATTTCCCTTTTTCAATTTAGCTGTTTTGACTTAAAAACTCACCCCAGGTCATTTCTTTTTATATAAACTGTTATTATGGAAGTAAGAAATACTGTCCCTTATCTTACTAGGGGTTACATATTGTAAGGACTAATCTTTTGCCTTAAATCTAGGGTTGTCTGTTGGGTAGCTCTGTAATTCCACACAATTTTCTTTGATCCTTGATCCTGAGTGTTTTCACTAGAAGAAAGTAGAACAGTAGTAATCCATTTACTGAGTTGTTGGAAGAATTTCTAAATGTTGATTAAATGTTAAGTGCTGCTATTTATCATTGCTTGAGCAAAGAGAACTCAGAATTTTAAGATCTCCATCTATCCATATCTGTATCTTAAATATATGGTAAAAGAGAGTTATCATTACAGAAGCTCATCACAAAATAAGTGGAATAAATTTTTTAAAAAGTCTAAAGGGTAGAATGACAATTTTAACAATCATAATAGAAATTAAAGAAGTTTACCCAGACACTACATTGATCATTTGTGAATTCTTAAACCACCTGCTCTGTGAATGATATAATACTTGTATTTCCCCCCAGAAGACCCTGAAGAGAGCCTCCTTGTTGTTCACAAGGCCATCACAGATCTTTCTCTCCAAGAAGCAAGTGCTGAGGACATGGTATTCAGAGAAGGTAATAGGAATCTTACCTTCCTAATAGAATTGTTTGACTAGATATGATGACAGCTTTGCATGAGATGCTCTGTGTGTGTGTGTGGTGTTGAAAAGCTGCCTAGGTAATAACTTTATAATCTCCAAGCTGCTCCTGGCAATGAGAGTCTCATCTTATCTGTGGGTTCCACCTTAGTCAGCTTTCCATATGGCTGAAGCCTAAAATTGCATGGATTGGTGTGACTGACTGGCATTCCAACCATATCTGTCTCTTAATAAGTTAGCCCACAAAATCAACTTTCCTTTTTTATTTGGTGCTCCACATCTGTGTCAGGAAACTTGTGATATGTTTCAGAAACAGATTCATCCTAAAATTCCATTATTGCCATGCAGTTTAAAGTAACTTTATAAAATGAGTTACTGCATAGGAAAATTACATGTGAAAGAAGTACAAACTGGTTAACGATTTCTTCTCAAAGACGGGTGTGAGAAATCAACTTTGAAGCAAAATTAAATTTGTTTTCTATAGTCAGATGAGAGGAAAAAATGAACATTGAAGTGACTATATTAAATATCAAATAAAGTCAGTAGTCAAAGGTACAAATCCTTTAGACATTTCTTTTTTGAAGACATTTTCGTTCAAGTAGTTTCCAAGTACAGAACAAGAAGACGGAAACTATTAATTAATTATTCCTTCCCTCTCTTGAAACTGTAAACAGCTTATCTCCAAATTGGAGTCAGCATGTGGCACTTAAGCATCAGACCATAAGAGAGCCCACTTACTGAAGCCTTAGAACACTACATAAAACAGCAGATAATGAGGAGGACAGGGAGTGACTACTGATATTGCTCCCTTTGCCTGGACAATTCTGAGATTGTCTGCTGACCAATGTGCAAACACAGGTAATAGCCATTGCCAAGAGATAGTTGACCTCACCAGAGATCATCTATAAAACTTAAGTCCCCACACAATGAACTAAATAGCTTCTTTGTCCCGATCTTGCTGCTTCAAATATGATAAGCAAGGCTGGGTCATCGCCATTCCTCTATAGCCTCTTCATATTCATGATCAGAAGGACCACTGCAAATAACAGTTTTCTAGGCTCTTCCATTTTCATCAAGTGGAGAGTACAGAGTCTCTCTTCTTAAGCTGTGTGGTCTCACCAGTGAATTTGCATGAATCCTTTCTTTCTGTACACAGCATATAGTTGTTTTTTTTTTTCCCTATGTCGGAGACCTTGATTTTAGTGCTTTTATTTTCACAATGGCAAATAGCTATAAAGACTTTCAAAAGAATGTACCTGCTAAGAGTATGAAGATGGTAAAAATATTGAGGAAAAACTATAATTAATTTAAATTCAAGAATGAATTCTATTCATGACAGTCTTAGGCCTGAGTCATGAATATGAAAAAAAACCCCACTAGTTTCTTCATGTGGGAAAATGCACAAGAACCCAAAGCTAAATATCATAGCAGCACATCAAATATACACTTGTTCATAATGTAGAGTATTGACTGTATACTGAAGGCTTGATTGCATTTTATACAACTAGCACAGGATGTCAATTCATGCTTGTTTCACTCATTCGTGGTACAGTAAAATCTGACTCAGAGAGAAGGGGAGAAAAAGTAAAAGTCTGATGAAAATGAACACACAAGGAGAATTGTGCGGGGGAAACACAAAGCTGACCACTGTCTTTCACCTTGGTTATAGGCTCTTGTGGCATGGAAACAGAATGGTGAAGTCAGAGATATTTCTTAGTCATGTTCACTATAAGCTTACTTTTCCACAGAAGTCTGTCCTGTGTTGTATGCTCAGAGAAAATGTCTACTTCCTTAATACTCATTCATGTCAAGAAACATTAGTCGAAGTATGTTAATATGGTATAGTTGTTTGTGGTTATACTATGTAAAACCTTACAAAAGCAATGCTATGGTACCAAAGAATGTGTTACTTAGCTGTCATTTGGAACATGTCGAAAACAACAAGTGAATCTAACATTGCATAGATATAACATCAGCATGGCTGTGAAATCTGGATTCTTTATAAATCAGCAGCATATCTGAAGCCATGTATGTGGTTTGATAGGATTGTGCCTCATTTGCCAATATGTGAGTCCTGAACACCTGCTCTCCTTTACAACTCAGAGATAAGGTGTCAAATGTGAAAGCTGCATGACCACACAGAGGCAGTCATCATTTTCACCTCCTGGAAAAAAGCCTTCTTCACCAAGGCATTGTTCTTATTGTCAGGATATAAATGTACATGTATGTATGTATATATATATAATATATATGTACGTACACATATATACATATGCACACACACGCATATCTATTAGTATGTTTATATATTCACATAACTTGTTGTGACAGCTAGAGAAGATGTTTAAAAATTTTTATTTATTTATTTTTATCTTATGTGTATGAGTGTTTTGCCTGAATGTAAGTACACCACTGTCATGCAATGTCCATAGAGGCCAGAAGAGGGCAGTGGACCTCCTGGGACTGGAGTTATTGATTGTTGTTAGCCACCATGTGGATGCTAACAACTAAACTGGGTCCTCTGCAAGAACAGCCAGTGCTCTTAACCACTGAGCCACCGCTCCAGCCCTCAGCTAATGAAGATTTTTAAGTGTACCTCAGAGAACACTAATTCTACCAAATACACTAGTTTATAGAAATAGAATTCCATAGTCAGATGAGGTTGGGTTGTGGACTGTACTGGAAACATGTAATATTAGTGCTTTAAAAAGTAAATTCTGAACAGCTTATATAACTGCATGTAAAGCAGTATTTTGCAAATTGATTTGACTATAAAGCCTGTTTGATTATATGGAATATATCAATATCAATAACCCAGGGTAATAGTCTAAAAAATTTAGAAAAAAGATCATCCAGAAGAATAACTTTAAAAGTTATAAAACAGTAGCTAGACACTGTAACTCTAGCACATCTTACCTACCAATTCATTTTGCTACAGGTCATCAGTGGAAGAAGATTCCTCTGAGCAGCAGTTACCAGGAGATAAGTAGACCAAAAGAAAGGATTGTGCACCAACCTCTAGAGCAGAGAGATGAGAACATGGCTTACCAGGCACCCGAGATTAAATGGTTGGGATTTAAGAAGCCTAGCCAAGGCGATGTGATACATTCTAAACATGCTGAGGAGCAAGAGGTTTGGATGGAAGAAATTGATGAGGATGACGTTGAGGATTGCAATGATGATGAAGACCAAGTTCGAGTAATAGAATTTAAGAGAAAATATGAAGATTCTCAATTGAAAGAGGAAGTCGATGCAAGTGAGGACTCCCCGCTGAGCAGCCCCAGCTCTCAACCAGTGACACCTGATGAGCAACCAATGTTCGGAAAGAAGGGAGATATCTCCAGAAATGCTTATTCAAGATACAATACGATATCCTATCGGAAAATCAGGAAGGGGAACACCAAGCAAAGAATCGATGAGTTTGAGTCAATGATGCATTTATAAACTAACCGATGCTGAGAAATCTCATGACACTAAAGCAAAGCTAACTCTGTTGTGCTCAGATGAATCTTTCTTCTCTTTATTTGAGTTATCCGCATGAAAGATGTGTAAGCTTACTCTTTTTCACTATAGAATATCATGGAAATAACCTTGGATAAATTCATTCTGGTAACATGACATCAAAAAAATTCACTCTTGGGTATTTGCTTTTAAAGGAATCACTAATATAGTATTATGTGGTTAGCATTAGAGAAAGACCCACTGGTAAGTGTGGCATGGCTTGGCTTTAAAAGTAGTAGTAAAAAAAGAACTATTGAAATGAATATAATAATTCTTCTGGTGTCTTTCTTCCGTTGGAGCAATGGGAAGCTTGGGATTAAACACCTCATTTAAACAGAGTTTTATAGATTCTGGCACTAAATTATTTTGCCTTACCAATTGTCTTAAAAAATCATATGTCCTGTTGCTGGAGAGATAGCTCGGTGGCTAAGAGCACTGATTGCTCTTGCAGAAGACCCAGTTTCAGTTCTCAGCACCCACACGGTAGCTAACAACCACCTGCAATTCCAGTCCCAGGGGGTCCGATGCCCTCTTCTGACTTCTCTGGGCACTGCACGACATGGGTGCATTTACATAAATGCAGGCAATACAGTCATACACATAAAAAATGATAAGTAAGATATTAAAAAACATCGTATGCCCTAAGTTATTTTCCTTGGTATCTACCAAGTGAAAATTCTACAGACCATCTTCCTAGGTGTCATCATTCAGTGAATTTCCTCACTAAAAGGGCTGAGCCATTGTCAGTCAGAAGGTTGTTTGCTGAGTGCTGGCTTTAAGCTTTCAAACTGAGTTAAATCCATTGTGAAGTGAATCCAGGGAGGGGCTAGATCGGTAGCAATAGACTAAAGAATTATTTTGGATGCTTTTATTTTTATGATTGAAAACAAAATCGTGTCTAACATAATGAAAGTCATTAAAAATAAAAATGGCAATTTTAGCACAATTTTAAGAAAATGCCCCTCTCTATTACCACAGTTTCTCTTATTAACAGTGTCTCAGAACAGTTTTCTTTCTTTAGAAATCTGAGACAATGCTAGTCACAACTGTACTAGTTACTATGAAAATGAAAATAATTATCTCAGAATATTTTCAAAGTAGGGTGTGAGCATGTATTTTTAGTGAGAAAGCTCTGAAAGTTGTTGGGAATATGTAATTTATTGGACCACAACCCAAATCAAGAAGCTTAAAATTGTATTTGTGGAGTTGCACTCAAACCAATGTGTCAAATAATGTGTTGAATATTTATGAAAAGAGTATATTTATACTCTTAGATCATTTGTTCCACAATTTTTCATTTCATGCTTCTGTATATATTGCTCTGAACTTTCTGTTACCACAGATAAAAATATCTTTTGGCTCCAAATACAAATACAATTCCTTATTGTCTGAATGTAATACTGTCTTCATTGTGCTACCCAACCCTTCGTTTATTTCTTTCTCATTCTGAGAAAAAGCCTGGGTTAGATGATTGCTTATTTATGTGTAACAAATCCCACACATTCTTACAGCAAGTTCTCTAATTCTTCCTCGACACCTAATATATTTCCAAAAGTATCATATACTATTGTGTAGTATTTGTAAGATTCAATTCTAAGTTCAAGGTTGTAGAGCTCCTTTTAGTCTTTAAAACAGAGACTTTACAATCTACCATATAAAAGATCCCTTAAACTATTGAACCTGATCATTTCATGTGGGACAATTTGAGTTTTCAGAAGAATATCTTTATTGAAAAAGTTAGCTAGGAGACTGATGCCCTAGGACAGTTTCCTGCTGGATTTAGATGCTCTGATCATCCCACAGAGACAATCTATTTGTTTTCATGTATTTCTGATGAGCCCTGTCATTCTCCACTTCAAAGCACAGTTTTGTGCTGTCCATTATGTCACAGGACTATACTGCTGACCTACCTTCAAGAGAGCTTGCATTTGAGATGGAGGTGATGAATTCCTGTGGAGTTTGAGTGAGATGGGGAGTGTGTGGATAAGGGGCATGGCAAAACTACTGGCTTCTATGTATCTGACTCCATAACCTTGGTCTTTTTAGCTATTTCCTCTGACTACACAGTTAACCAACTATGAACCATTCTGCCCACAGACTATTTTAAGGTATATTTAGTTGTTAAATGCCTCATGTTCATGAATGAGGTGATGTAGCAGCAATAGAGCACTGGCAGTATTATTGGTTCTGTACACTGCTGTCTGTCATCAACTTACAGAAGGGTTAACATTGAGCGACATTTGAGTAACGTAGCAGCAGTGGTGACTACCTGAAAAAAAAAAACCAAAGGTCTAGTTCAGATTGCGTGCATATTTTAAACTCATTTGGGTCATTATTAATTGGCAACTAAACGAGAAGACTTATCTGAGATTTTGTGATTTAAGTTTCAGGGGTGGTAAGGGCTCTAATATCTTATACCTGAAGGGATAAAGACTTGATTTATTGTATGAATGCTGACATTTCTTACATGGCTTAATTCTCTTTTGTTGCTAGATGAATGGAAAATAATGATAGCTTTATTTCTTTGTAACAATGCAATTTACCTTTCATATAATACTATATTTTAAGTCATGGAATATGCCAGAAACTATCTATCCATCTATCTATCTAGATATCTATCTATCTATCTATCTATCTATCTATCTATCTATCTATCTATCTATCATCTATCTATCTCCTACCTACCTACCTACCCACATATAAGTTAAATGAAGAAAGGCCCTGTCTTACTTGCTTTCAATAAAGTTCTTTGTTTCAGACATTTAATTTTTTTATTTTATTCTATGTGTATGCATGTATTGCCTGCATGTAGGTAAGTGCACCAGGGTCATGCAATGCCCACGGAGGTCAGAAGAGGCTGTCAGATCCCCTCGGACAGTTGTTAGCTGCCTTGTGGGTGCTGGGATTTGAACCCGGGTCTTCTGTAAGAACAACCAATGTTCTTAACTGCTGAGCCATCTCTCCAGGCCCTGTTTCAGACACTTTTTATACACTTTGTTTTCTTTAGAATTTAGTAAGAATCCTTCCTTACTAGCAGCTATTTAAATCATCAATAAATGCCTCTTCAAAAAAAAAATTAAGAGAACACCCAATAATTACAATTACTGTGCATTATTTATTTTTTAAAAGGTTTGAAAAGGACTGTATATGAAATTGTGCAAAGAACTTCTGGTGGTTCTGGTTCTTCTATTACTTTTAAAGAAAATGAGATATTCCTTTAGATGCATATTAGCGCCAACAATGTGAAAAATACATATTTATTTTGTAGTCACGGAGGCAATACACTTGGTAGTTTTTTTGCATATTCACTATAGGAAGTGGTCAAAAAAAGAAAAGACAAAGATCGAGATCAATTATTCTGACACTTTTATAGTGATTATTACTGCATTTTTACATGAGGTACTACTTCTGGCATATTTTCAAATGGAGAATAGACATTTAGGTTTTTCATAATAGTAGAGAAAACATTTAAAGTAAGTAATAATAGAGAATTACAGAAAAAGACACATTGGAGTATAATAAAAAAAGAAATATATTAAACAAGAGGGCAGAGACAACCACGTCTCTTAAACCCTGAACTTGCATTGCTCAAGTTCATTGTTTTTAAAAACAAGAGCATTAGAAATTGTAATATCAAAAGCATATTTGCCAATATTAAAAAAGTAGATCATAACATAACTCTCTAAGTATGAAGAGCAGAATGTGTACTCAACTGTTCTGTTGATGAACAAAGGATGGCAGGGCCATGCAATCAACATCTACACATACAGAGTGGCATGTAGTCATGGGCACTAAGATCATTAAGATACCTGCCAAAGGACAAAGTCATCTGATGACATCTAGTAACTAGTTGCCAGCTCAGGAGAATTTTTAAAATGAGATTTGAAAGTCATTTTGACTTTTTCCTAGAAATTTAAAATTATATATTTGATTCCTTCTTTCTAATAACTTTAGTTGGTAACAAGCCAAAAGGGTGACTAATTAAAAGCATTCAATTAACTCAAATATTCCTTATACAAGTTTTAATCTTATTCTCCCATTAACAAACACATTCAGGTAATCAATAACAAAATCACTCCTTTGATTTTTGCCTTCTCTTGTTTTTATGCCCACTTCCCACAGTGAACACGCATAAAACTACCAAAATTTGAGCAATTGTTTGAAGAGGAATTAAGGCGCATGTGCAATCGGAAACTGAAGATTAAACCCTCACAAATGTAATTTGATGAGAACTTCAAATCGGCAAAACTGTGCCCAGAGTGAAAGTCTACTTGCAATACTTTGTACAGAAGGTCACAAGTTGAAAATGCCATGTAACTCCAAAAGATTCAAATATCCCATGCCATTTCTTTACTTCTGTTATAAGAAGAAATGTATGGTTTTATTTCCTCCCATACATGTTTGCATGTAATTAAAATATTAATTACATGCAAACACTCTCAAACACACACACACACACACACACACACACACACACACACACACACACACAGGCAAGTAAATTTTTCAAATGGCAAGTAAAATTTAAAATATTTATCCATATTATCAAAAGTTTTAATTTAAATATATAATATAAAGGCTTTATTTATGTAGTTACTTCTAATTGATATCTTTAAACTGGAAAATATTTAGCAATATATAGAAATGCTTAATATTTGATGGTGACTGTCATTATTAGGAACTCATCATATGTGAAGTTGCCCTACACCCTGAAAAATGAAAACTTGTACTTGTGTTTGTGTTTTACAAAAGAAAGACTCACATACACTTGCAAAGGGACTCTGAAATGCCAACCATCAGTTAACACATCAGGTTGAAACTAGAAACATGAAATCTGCTTCATTGTGATGGTGTTTTTTGCTTTCTTTCAGACAGGCACCACCAATACCTGAAACCCATCACTAAACCTCATGGGAATATAACAGTTTCTATGACTTGTTCAAAACTGTCCATGTAATGGGCATTTTATCAAAAATAAATTTTGTGTACAATAGCTTTGGTTAGCATTTCGTTTCTCTTTTCCAGGAAGTTGACATGCAGTAATCATTGAAAAACTTATGCAAAAGTTGTTGTAAAGGCACTCTAACAGAATCTATAAAGTGAGGTAAAGTTAAAAGCTGTAGTTTGTATTTTAAACTGAAGGATTTTTCAAAATTTTAGTTTCTATTGCTCTTCAAAATGAACAAGTTGTCAGCTTTGCTTAAAGGTAGGGGGGGAAGAAAATTTGTTACTTGAAAAAATATGATTCACAGAGACACAACTCTTTATGTATTCTTTTCTGTTTGCCAGATTTGGCACAGGAGATGGAAAAGAAGAGGCCCAACATAGCATGAAGGCTGTAGATCATTACAAGACTTATGAAAGTTGTCACATATATCTACACATCAGCTACACAGCAGAGAGGCCCAGCTTCTATTTTCTGTCCATGCAACATTCAAGAGAGAACAAAAGAAGTTTTACCCTACCTTGTTTCCTTATCTATAACATCAGTAATCTGCAACCAAAGGGCTTTACCTGAGCTCACCTGCATTGATAACCCTATTGCTTGACAAATGAATTATAGATCACGGCATGGTGTAGTGAAGAATTTTCAGAATGCCAGGTAGAATGGCCACTGGGCTTCATCTCTTATTGGTGGCATGACTGCATCCAGCGTAATGGATATTCAGACCCTTTTCTCATCATATGATGGGGAGAAGGATGACTGCAACTTGGTGAGATGAGCACATACAACACCTAGTAGGGAGTAAGTGCTCGGCGATAATTAGTCCCTCCTTTTTATTCCTTCACCTCTTAATCTGATTTATTAATAAGGCTGTGTTCTAAGTATAAACTCTAAAATAGAAATACTTGAACAACAAGCAAAATGGTCCTATCTGGTATGCTTCCACCCAACTGTCTTGTACAAGAACTCCTTGAAAATCATTGTAAGGCATTTATGAAATCAGGGTGGGCAGGGAGCATTGAATTCCTATTCAGTATAAGTGGTATCCATGGTCCTCTTCAATCCTTAAGGCAATGCTAGAAAGAAGGTTTTCTGATATCTAGAAGAGTGTTTCTGAGATACTGTGGGGGAAGCTAATGTTGCCTTGTGATCATGGCACAGGGTGGTTTTGCAGTCCTGTGAATGACAGACAATTGAATGTCAGCAAGCAGAACTGAGCAAATTTGATGCTCATGGTAAAACACCACTGTAGCAGCAACAGCTGTGTCATCCCACAGGAAAGGAGGGTGGAAGTTGAAATAGAAAGCAACTGTACACTCTGAAAAGTGGAGGAGCTCTTTTAGTGCTCAGCAAGTTCGGTTCTTGATCAAATTAGCTCTGTTCAATATTAACAAGGTTACCCTGTGTTCAAGTTGAAAAGGTGCATAGACATTTTTCTAAGAAAAAGCAACAACCTGAGTCAATCCAGAAAATCCTGAAGTCCCTGATGACACAGCCCTTACCAAAGAATTCAGGACTAACTTGGACCATATTGTTCCATCAAGGGTTTATAATTATACCTAAAAGAAGATGTGGTCGGATTCATATTCTTATTCTAATCTTCCGAAAATAAAATTGGGGGCAATGCTTTAAAAAATGTTGGTAGTAGATTTGACAGTCAGTCAGTACTAGGCCCACACAGATTCCTAACTAATGATTAGTTCTTTGCATCTTAGGTTAAGTGAGAAAATATATGGTACAGTAGTTTTAAAAATTCTACCCCAGAACAAATATGTGATATTATAAAGCAAGTCTTTGTTCTGTTGACAGTGTAAGATCACAGGTAGCTTTATATAATAAGTATGTCAGTGTGAAATCAGTGCATGTTCTCAGTAGACGGGAGAAAGTTCTCTTGGGGAAAACATTCCATTTTTTTTTTCAGCTGGCACATCTAAAGGTAGGTGTATCTAAAGAGCACCGAGTTGATTTTTCTTTGTGGAAATGTCTGGATCAAATTGAGACTCTATAGATCAGTGGGGAGGGAGACGTTCAATATTTCTCAGCTACATGAAGAATGACATGAGGTACTCAGTGCACTGAGTCTGGTCACTAACTCAATTAGTCTGTTGGCAAACAACCTGTGTGTTTCTTTTTTCTCCATATGGCTGTTTTGGGAAGAATCATCTCATATTCAAGTCATTCTCTTATCTCATCTGCAGTCATCAATTACTGGAATGAAACATCTTAAATATGCTACAAATATGCAAAACTGTTTCTCTTTCCATTCTCAGTTGATAGTCATGCTTTTTTGTAATAATTAGAAGTTAAATTAAGTGTTAAATAGGAATTTAGAACTGAAAATGCCCAATTTTACCATGATATCAGGTGAACAGATTTAAATCCATTCAGAAGGATAAGCATGGCTACCCTGCAGGGACCCAGCCCCAGGAAAGAAGTGGCGTGTGTCTTTTGAAGGATTGCCATGGAGCAATTTAGACTGAGAGATCTGAATTCCTGCATTGATTTCTTCAAAATTGACTTGGGATTTTTTTTTAAAAAAAAACTGTTTTCCTGTTTTTGTTTTAGACAGGCAATTTGTCTTCTGGCATTAGTTTCCTTAACACAATGTATATAATAAAGACCCTGATTCCTAAGCTTTCTTCTGGACTTCCCAAGGATGGGTACACTTAAGACGAGATCTCAATTTGGCTAAAGAAATGCTTAGTTTTCTCCAACTGGCCTGTGTTATTATTGGGCCCACATGAGGGCTTTTCTCTGTTTTTTTCCCCCTAGAAGTAACACATCTTATTTGCCCAGGTCTAGTACAATTCTTTATTCAACTCTCTTCCTCAATTTGCTTATTTCATTTTTGTTTTAAAATTTTAAATTTGTGTCTGCTTTAGGATCTTTTAGCATCTATTTTTATCATACTTCATCCTAGTAAATATTTGCTAAATCTAAAGTAGGATTCTATTATTTTCATATTTCAAAGATTTTCCTATTCTTCAGTAATATTTCTGCTTTAACTCTTTCAACTCGTCTCATGTGGCTGTGTTAGACTGTGCCTAATGAGTACATGCCATTTGGTTCACTGTAATGCTTTTCCTGCCTGGAAAAATAAGAAATCAGGAAGTTACTAATATGACCAATTTTTAAATATAGAATTTGAAATCACAATATGATCTGAAATAATACATAGAATTGAGCACATTAACATCTCTTATTTCCCACTTAAAACTTTCTCCACTGATTCAGATTATGGAGAAAACACTATGTGGTCATCTAAATCAACCCTCTGCCATTAGGAGGGGTCAGTGATGGCTGATCAGCACTACTTCAGTCTGTCAGCTGAACACTCCTGTACCCTGGAGGCATTTCAACAAGTTTGCGTCTCTGTGCATCTAGTAGAGTCTTCCAGTCATTAGGACACATGCAGTTGGTATTCAGTAAGACAACAATCTATAAAGGACCAGGTCATCACTGGTTTTACCTCTACTTGTGGGCCAGCAGCTGACTGGCTGTCATCACTCATGGTAATTGCATTGTTATCTATCTTCGTTTCTGGTTACCTGTGAGAGTATATGAGGAAGGCTTGCAGGATGAATTACAGCAAAGGGCAGGAAATAAACAATTCCAAAGGCCACCCAGGGTTGAAGGAGGACTCCAGTCTAATGGCGGACTATTTCCCTGATTTATCTTTAGATACTCCAAATATCGTGATTTTAAAAATTCTTCCATTCAAATGCTATTAAAACCAAAAACTCAAACTACCACAGAGAATTGCAGTCGCCAAGTTTGCTGTCATTTTCGTGGTATCGAATGGGCTAATTAGATAAAACAATTTTTCTTTAGTCTTCATAGTATTTTTCAAATTTCCACTTCTGATTTGGTACCACTGGATTACAAGCAGCTACTTTCAGGGTCTTCTGAGAAAAATTTCCTTCCATGCATAATAACTGATGGTAGTTTTCAAAAACAATGTGCTCCACCTGAGGAGAAAGAGAACCTTGGAATGAGCCACAGCCTGAACTTGAAAAAAGAGGTATGAAAATGTAACCTTCCCCACAAATCATATTTATCTTTGTCCCCTTAGGAAGTGTCCTGACTAAAATTAATGACTTAAATATGGGCTGCGGGAAGCACTGAATCTGCCTCTGTCTCAAACTAAGTTGACTACTTTTCTCTAATCTATAAGATTATTTTTCTAGTGAAATGGCTGATAACTACATTATTTAAAGAAAAACATTCCAATTGGCACTTAATGTATTGGTTAACTACTTCATTGATGGTGGTAAAACAGTCTTGTGACATGACAGAAAGCAAGCTTGTTAATTTGTTAATCCAGCCCATGTCTTAGAATGTATTTACCAAATGTTGGAAATAAAACATAGCTCCTTACCATATTCTCTGATCACATATAATGCCTAATGTCTAGAACCCAGATTTAACTAGAAAAAGACTAAAGTATTCCAGATGACCTTATTACTGCTTAATATTTATGGAAGAGTCTAAAAATAATAGATAACCAACTTAGAACCAACCTATGGTTTTATCATTTTTTTCATTTATAAATATCAAATTTCCATGACTATGACAAAGATACTCTTAAGTATCAGTAAGTTAATTTTAAAAGTTTTAATATTTTTACCAAAAGAGAGATGACTTTCATGATAATATTTTAAAAATGCTCCTGTGAAAATATTGTGACTTTCACAGAACTCTGGAAATATGACGCTTAAATATGTTTAAGGTTTTGCAAAGTAACTGGCCTTGAAGAAAATCATTCAAGATTATCTGCAATAGGCTGTTGTGTATGACAAAGAGGTAATTAAATTCCTGGACCCCAATCTAAAGACTTGTAGGGACCAGTGGTGGGGAAGCATTCTATGTTCCAAATCTGCCACTTTGCGGTGGTGGGCACCGGCCAAAATCCAGAGCATCTGGGGAGGGCTGACTTTAGGGAGAATTTTTATAATGAAAATTCATGTGTGTATTTTAACAACTTGCTGTCTGAAGGCAAGCTCATTACCACAGTTCTTCCCTCTATGAAGCTTTTCACCCTTAATCTCTAAAAGGAGAGAGAGGTTTCTACTCATAGTTTCTATTTCTCTGATTCTTCAAGTCATGTATTTTGGGGACTGTTATAGTTTTGGTCTTAAATGTCTCCCAAGGTGAATGTGTCAAAGCCTTGGTCCCCAGGGTTGTACTATTGGGGGAGAGGCCTAGAGGGAGGTCCTAGGGTCACTGGGGGCATGTCAGTGACCAGGATTGTATGACCCTGACCTCTTCTTTTTCTCTTCTATACTTTCTGGTCCATGAACTGAGCAGTTTTGTCCTAATTTGTACTCTTGACCTGATGTTTCCTCATCATAGGCCCAAAACAACAGGGCCAACCAACCTTGGATTGAACCTCTAGAGCCATGAGCTAACAAACCTCCCTTTATTAGTTGATTGTCTAAGATATTTTTCTAAAGCAATGGAAAGCTAATTCAGGGACTTAAGAGGATTTGCATAAGAGATGTCCAAAGAGAGAAAGAGAAAAAAGAAAGAAACAAAGAAAGAAATTAAGCCGACTCATAAGCTGTCGATATCTGTGACCATCTAGACCCATCCAAACAGGAATAAAAGATAGGAGGCACCAGTGTAGCATGTCACAAACAGCTTTCTAGTTTTCACTTTTAATAATTACTTTCTTTACGAAATCAGCTTTTTATGAAGACCTAGGTTTTTTTATTTATTTATTATTATTTTACTTTTTGAGACAGATCTCCCTGTAGCCCCAGCTGGACCAGATCTCACTACGTGGACCAGGCTGGCCTTGATCTTACGGAGATCCACCTGCCTCTGCTCCCAAGTGATATGATTAAAGAATGTGCTTTAAGAGAAATTATTTTTCATTGCTTTATCACTATAAATCTTTTCTAAGATTCATCTCTGGAGAGGGGGATGTGTTTCATTTTAATTGTGTCTCCCTTCTCTCCTTCTCCCTCTCTTTTCCTACCTTTGGTACAGGGTTGAAGAAGTGGGGGGTGTGATTATAAATTGGTTGAGAGATATTTATAGATTTCTTTAAAAATGTGCAAACTAAAATTAGCAGTTTATATACTAATGATTCCTTATTTTTCTATGTCAATTGATAAAAATCGTTATCATTAAGGAAAGTAAAACTATTTGAAGGAAATTAAAATACTGCAGCAGTGGAACTTTGGAGAACATGTAGCTTGGCCCTGATTTTGGATCTGAGTACGAAGAAAATAATGATTGAATATGGCATCAAAGAAAAACACTCCAGCCAACGGGGAACCCCAAGGAAGAAGTGCGCTTCCTTTGGAGTCAGCTCTGGTAAAGTCCTGATTTCCATATTGCCCGTTTTAGTCTCTTTTCTGTTGCTATGACAAAAAAACTGACAAAAACAACTTAAGGGAGAAAGGGCTCATTTTGACTCACAGTTCAAGGTTATAGTCTATCATTCTTCAAGAAGTCACAGTGTCTGGAGCTTAAGAAAGCTAGTCACATCGCTTCCACATTACGAAGCAGACCAAAATGGGAAATGCATGCATAGTGCCAGTTTGCTTTCTCCACTTTATAAGGCCCAGGATTCCTTGCCTAGGGAGTGGTCCATCCTACAATTAAGATGGGTCTTCCCACATCAAATTACAGTCTCTCATAGGCATACCTAGAGGGCCACCTCCCAGGTGATTGTAAATTGTGTCAAGTTGACAGCAAATCAACCATCACATCCATGCATGTGACAGATTTGGTGGCTACCTGCTAGTGGAAGGGTAGAAAAATTTGAGAAAGCAGTCCTCAGATTATTCCTGCCACATCCAGATTCGACACCAAAGTTTATGACTTTGAATGCTATTAAAACATAATTGGGGAAAATCGAGTGGACCTTGAGGACAAATACACCAGCACACTGATGTTTTATGACTATTAGCAACTGACTCTCTGGAAAAATATCCCCCATCCAGTGACCTCTGCTGATCTCTGTGGTGTAAACATTCTTTTCCTGTTTGGTTTATAGCAGGTGATGTGTTATTGATGTGTGCAAAGTTGGCAAGAGATAGCACATGATCACTTTCTATAATCAGCTTCTGCAAGCTGACTCCTGAACTGTTCTAAGAAGCCTGTCTGTGGAACCACAGGTGTGTATGTGTATGTGTATGTGTGTGTATGTGTATGTATGTGTGTGTATGTGTGTGTATC